GCTCATTCTAGCTCTTCCTCTTGCTCACTCACTCCTTCTATCTACTTTTTTTTCCTTTCATTTCTTTTCAAGTGCTCCTTACAAACAATTTGAGCAAAGCAAAAGAATGTATAAGAGGGAGAACAGAACAGAAAAAAACAATAATAAATTTTCTTTTTGCGTTTACTTTTTCGTAAAAGTTTCTTTGTCTGTTGTTACATTATTTAAACAGGTGACTTGAACTTGAGCAAGAGCGATGTCAGTAAATCATAACTGAAGGTAGAAATATCTTGTACAATGTAAAATAAGAGAGATAAAGGTTGGAATGGAAATGGAATGAGTTTTTTGTATGCCTACGTAAGCACTTCCATGGCTATGTTGAGCTCCACTCAAAATATTTCTTTTTATAGTGAGTCAAGTACAATTGTTAATGTTTATAAATATTGAATTTCCTTATTCAATTCATCTTTCATGATGATAAGCACAGAATGAAATTTCCAGCTTATTGATGTTGAAAAAAGTTTTGGTAAATTGAAATTCTTGCTACTCTGTTGCTTATTGCTTGTAAAAGTATTTAAACAAATCATAAAATAATTAAGAAGAATAATGTTTTAGATAGAAATTGACTTGTTTTGTTTGATCTTATTTTCTATAGATTAGGAATATTAGACAAAGTAAGAGCTATAGATATAATGATTGCCAACAAACTATTTTGTACAAATATCTTAGAGATATAACTGATTTAAATTCAATATCATAACCATCTTCATTTCTATTAACCTCAATATCAAGCATTTAATAAAAATGCAATGAACGCTGGGTGAATGCAAAACGGAATCAAATTGAATGGTTATTAAATTTCTATGCTCTACAAAGATAAAACGACATTAACTTAATTTCTTTGACATTTCTATAAAAACGTTTTTGACATTATTTTAGTTTGTCATTCCTTTGATGGTCATTAGAATTCATTTTTTATCCAATTTTTCAAAAGAGATTACCTGATAAGAAAATTCATAGTCTAAATACGACATCTTTGTGATGAATAAAAGGTAAATTTTTAAAGAACAGTGAAGCATTCAAAGGTCACTGATCATATTTAATGATCTAAAACGGATGCCAAATTATGTAACAACATGATTACTATACATTCTGGTATTAAATATTTTATATACCTTTCTTCCTTTTACAATGTTCATTGTGCACAAACTTTACTATGGACACGAAAATCTTGAGAATTTCTTCATCATTTACTACCGCACAATAATGTGAACTAAATTCTTACAGCATATACTCAAACATGTTTTCACCTCATGAGAATAGCATGCCGAAAAAAAAACAGCACCGAACAACGCCAGTCAGACAATAAAAAGATTTGTGATCTAAGGAATTGTTATATTACATTTTCGCATTTCCAAACTGATGCAGCAAATGCTTTTAAATGAAAGCACGATTTTCCCCTTCCTTCATTTTTTTCTATTGCTTTGACCATTGAACGTGTGCTCCAATTTTCCATCTATCTCTCGTCGAATTTTCTTATTGAATGTGCTACTACATTTGGGGTTAGAATCTCAATAGCATATTTTTGAGAGAGCTATGCTTAATTTTGTTCATTTTGTCTCAATCAAATACTTTAACTACATATAACAAAATTATTTTGTAGGTGGAACTTAAAATGGATTCGCTCTTATACAATTTAAAGCTGGCTTCGATCTTTGGCTCAATTTTCTCTAGTCTCTTATCTTCCGTCCAAGACGGATGTTATTGTCGAGTGAAAAGAAAAAAAAAGGATAAGCAATGATACATTGTTGGACTGTAAATGAAAACTATCTATCAAGTAACTTGCTTGAATCTCATGATGAATAGATTTGTTTGCTTTTTAGTCCCCTTTTGACTTTGTTTTGATGTCCTTTCTGGTTTTTTTGGTCATTGTTATTTCTTCTCTCTTTATTGAGCTTAATGACGAAAATCAATTTTTTATTGGGTTGACTTTCATGCTTTTGTGACTCTTTTATGTCTACAATTCTTATTCTTTGAAAAAAATAAAACTCAAGGATTTCAAAATGAAAAAAGCAGAACTTCGAGCAGAATTAAATAACACATCAATTTGGCTTAATGATATGAGATGTAAGCTCTCATGAACTAGAAAAAGATTTGACATAAGCTTTACACTTCACTTCACATTATTTTCTTTTGAAGATAGAATGAGTGGAAGCATATTAGTTTTAAATTGTCAATTATAAAGCAATAAGCGAGAAAATGAGAGCAATTTAATTTTTTTTTAACAAACGAGATAAAAGAAATGACTGAAAATTGAATGAAACTGGAAGAAGAAGAATAATTTGCAATGTATGCAAATTGCATAAAGGAAGAGGAATAAAGAGAAACTTATTTCAGATATAAGATTATTCTTCATTTTCATTGCAGTGAACAAAATTCAATTAATTCTTTTCTTGCTTTGCGTTGGCTTGATAAGGAACAACTTTTTCGTATTGTTTTGTTATTTAGTTAACAGCAATATGCTTAATCATCAACAAAAATATTTAAAATAAGAAGTACTTTCCGATTGCAAGTTTTTCATTTATCAAAACCTTCTTACCGAATGCTTTAAACTAGATTTAAATTAAAGTATTAATATGAACTGATAAAATGCTGGATATTCAGCCACGGCTTGCTTAACGATAAAAAGGGAAATAAAAGAAAAAGAATAATGAAAGTCTTAATGAGATAAGTTAATAATAAGTCAAAATTTTAGTTTGGCATGTAATAGGAATCAACACGATTAAGAATTTCGGATAAAGTTTTTACTTATAATCTCGAAGTTTCTCTCATTCAATAACATAAGACTACTGAAATATTTATGTGAAAGATGAAACTACTTCTTAGTTGCAATCATAGCTACTCCATGAATTTTTATCACCGTTATATCATAAAGAAACTATAGGAACCGTGCATCGATGTCAACTCTCTTCCTTGAAAAAGCACTTTTGAATATTATCTTGTTCCTTTTTTTATGTGCGCATTTTTTTCATGGTAAATTTCAACATTTTCGTCGCTAGATATATATTCGAAGAAAACTAAAAAATGTGAGGCATTTCATTCAAAGTTTCAAAGTTAAGCTCAAGATTTTTCCATCATTCTATGTGGATTTTTCTTTTATCTCAGAAAAAAAGTCATTCACATCATCATGTTACATTTTATGTTCCGTTTCTTTCTTTCTTTTTATCCTTACATATATTATACATCCAAGAATTTTGCTATAGAATGAAAGCAGGAAATGCGGGAAAATTGTCTGCAAAGAATTTTTTCGGTATAAAATATTACATTAATTTCTGCTTATCTTCTAAAATTTATGTGATGGGATCGAAAGAAAAAAAATACTTTATTTTCATACATATTGTACATATAATGCAAAATGATTTTGAGGCCAAATTCTAGTTTTCTTTTGTGCAGATAGAAGAACTTAAAAAAATGTATCGACACAAATAAAAAATTAAAACGCATTTTTCTTGTAAACTATTCAGTAAAAATGCTTTATATATAACATTGTGCTTTATTTCCCTTGAAAATTGGGCTAAAAAACTTTCTCGTCTCTCAACACTGCAAAATGAATGAAATGAAAATGGGCTTTAAGAAATTTTTCTTTTGTAACCATTAATTTTATTGTATCCTTTATCTTATTTTCCTCTTCCTCATGTGATGTATAGAAATTGTTTATCCGGCTTTGCAAAATAAGTAAATATATTATTCTAATCTTTGGTCTAGTTGACTGGATTTGACTTTTTATTGTTGTGATTCGAATGGATTTTATATTTATAGCTTTAATATTTAGGGAATATATTTTAGGGTTGTCAATTTATATAAGTCAATGTTTTCTTGTGCAACATTAAAACTCTTAAAAAATAAGTCAAAGTAACAAATAATCAAGGCGTGGAAACTCAGGATTAATTTTGAAAAATCCCAAAAATCCTTAAAAAAAACCCCGAGCCAATAAAAGGGCCGTTCACTTATTACGTTACGCAAAACGTTTTACTTTTTTCTACCCCCCCCCCTCTCCCCTTTTAACAAAATGTTACGACTCACAACCCCCCCCCCCCCTTCCCCCTGAACGTTCATAATTTATTTTATCATTAAAAAGGTGGAAAATTTAAAAAAAATGTTTTTGGTGTGAATTTGTAAACAAATTTTTTTCGTGAACCCCTCCCCCCAAACCCTATGTTACATTTTGTTACATTTTGTTACAATTTTTCAAACCTCCTCTCCCCCCTAAAATGTAAACGTAATAAGTAAACGGCCCCAAACATGAAAATGTGATATCCCTTTTAAATCCCTGATGCATTTGATGAATAATTTCGGGATTTAAAAGGGATATCTTTTTTCATGTTTATTGGTTCAGGGTTTTTTAAGGATTTTTGGGATTTTTCAGGATTAATCCTGAGTTTCCACGCCTTGCTAATAATTGATATATTATTTGGTTTAAATATGACACATGTAGTTACGAAAAAAAAACGATTAAAACTTAAAAATGATCAATATTTTTTAAATGCAAAGGTTTTCCGGCATTTCTCATCTTTTAACCAGTGGTTCTTAAATTCCTTTTTTAAAGCTATAAAAAGCTTTTGCCTCGATTCAATTCCATAAATAATTATTTTTAATTGAATGCATTACAGCTGACACTATAATGATCATGATTTATACTTAATTTTATAAAAAAAAAACTGCATCTGGAATGGAAAAGAAATAAAGATTCAACCGCAAAATGAACATTCCAAGCAATATTTGAAAACTCAATTGCACTAACATTAAGCATTCATTCTTTTGATGATACTAGAGTAAAAGAAAGGCACTTGAACGATATCACAGCATTTTTATATTCTTCTCGTTTTGTAATGCAATATAGATATCTGCACTTTGATTTCCTAAATGGAAAAAAATGCAATTTAATTCATTTCAGCATTCTGAATTTTTCTACTTATATTTCTCATTTATTCTTTAATTTTTTTTTCTCATGCCATCTGCAGACCATTGAGGACTGGAAATTTGTTTCCATGGTGCTCGATCGATTTTTCTTGTGGATCTTCTTTCTCTTGTGTGTTGGTGGAACCTTGGGAATTATCTTTGACAGCCCTTCATTATATGGTAAGATATGGATTAATTATCAGCCAATGAATTAAATTTGAATAAAACTCAAGATTATGATTTGCATAAATATTCATTGACTGTTGATTTAACAAAAAAAAATTAATTTTATGCATTTCATTAAACAGACATACGCCAACCTATAGATCGTCAACTGAGTGAAATACCCATGAGAAAAGGAGGCTTAAGTTTGCCAAATGATATTGTTCGTATTAATTTTGATTAAGTATTTGCACAGAAACTCAACGATGGAAAAAATTCGTAGAAAAAAAGGTTCTCATCCTCTTCATTTTTTTATAAACAAAATTTAATTCATTAATTCCATTTTTTTGACCCGAGGGAGAAGCATAAAATTTACCTTGTACCTTTTGCCTTTTTTTTCCTTAAGCATGTACTAATTTTCTCATCTTAGATGGATCTTTGCTAAAATTCCTTCCTTTATTTAATAATTTTTTTCCATCATCATTATTTACTTGGAGTTAAGCAAATTAGAAGATGTGAATGGGAAGTAGAAAAGTGGCAAAGACATTTCAGCAAAATTTAGTACCTTCAAAGCCTTTTTTTTCTCCTCGAATTTTTCATACTTAATAGCGCCTCATTTAAAAGTTTAACTTTTAAGAAAGAGAAGCTGATTCTTTTACGGATGAATTCATATTAATTACACTTTTTGCTTAATTTTTTCACTGATAATTTTGAAAAGATACGAAAAAAGTTTGAAATTTGATTATACATGAATCTTATTATCTCACGTCATGCGACATAAAATAACATTTTATTGTCTTCCTTAGTCTATTAGGAAATATGATAAATACATTTAAATTAAACAGTGTATGTCTATCCTTGAAATTATAAGAACAGAAATTTCTAAGCAATCTGCTTCCTAAAATTTTGATTATTAAGCTGATAAAGCTGATTTTAATGGCAAAAATGTTCTATAATTGGAGAACTTATTGAAATTAATGAAAATGCAATTTTTTTATATTAAATACTCGAAAAGTATTACTAATTGTTAATTGTTTAAAAAATTATATTAGCTTTAAAATTTTCAAGATAATTAAAAAATTTGATACTTAAATTTAAACTCGAATGAATTTTAATTAACTCAACATTACGAACACTAAATACAAGAACTAATGAAGTTTACATTCCCTTGAAAATTCAAGCACTCTCCCCAAAGACACAATTTCAAGGCAAGAACAAGTTTCAATTAAGGCAAATTACATGAATTAATTTTAATCACACAGAATCTATATTAAATAATGTTAAGGCATATTGATATTTTCCTATGTATTATACTATATACATAATTAGATATACAATGTTCATTAAAGAAAACAATTTTTTTTTTGAATATTTACAGCTCATTTGGTCTCATTGCTGTGGGGATTATCTTTCTATTTTTGCTCCATATATTTTCTTAAAGACTTTATTTCTCATAATCTTAATTTAATTGATTTTTCTCTCCTTCTTCTTTTTATTCTTCCTACGTACACTTACTACAACTTATTACAGTTATGAGGATAAATATTCTCTTTCTAATGGCAAATGAAAAAGTTTTCATCATTAAAAGTTCCTGGTTATTCGGCAGATGTTCTGGATATAGATCCATTTAGAATCTATATTATTAATCTTTATAAAATTATAATTGAAATAAAATTGATGAAGAAAATTTATAGCGGAAGTGAGCGAGAACTAGAAGTCAGTAAAGTTTGATTGACTCAAAGATATTAATGTTTACCGATGATTTACTAATTAACTGCTTTATTTCCTTAAATGGAATCATGGAAGTCGTCAAACATGAAAATTTTAATTGCTCCTTTTCATCCTCTTTGATTGATTTGTATCATGTAGCGGTAATTTGCTCGATTGCCGAAGATTCTTCGTTTAAAACTCTTTTAATTTGAATTTAGTGTAAATTATTAATTATTAAAAGGACATCCGGTCAAAAAATTAAGATTCTTTTTATTAGAATTTAGGAACTGAAATACGAAAAGAATGAATTTGGAATACCAAAATTAAAGATGAAAATTATCTTCTACTTTACTTCTACTCTATAATGGCAAGAAGCATAAAAGTAATGGGGTTGGGGTTGACTTATTTTTATTACAATATTGAATTTATATTGAGAGATATAAAGCAACTGAGAAACATTTATTGTATTTTGTGAATGAACGAAGAAAGAAGTGAGAATGGAAAAGCAGAGGAACTAAATAAGAGAATTGAGAAAATCTTTTTTATTTATACTAAACTTTGGGACCTTCGTCGCCGAGCATAAATTTTGAACAGAAAGAAAGGAAAAGGGAACATTTTCAGTCGAATACTTGCTTCAAGCATGCACAAAATAAAATGTATGAATAGAACACAAACGAAAATTTCCCTCTGCTCCTCCTTTGGCTATTGTATTGTGTTCGTGATAAGAAAACTTAAAATGAAGGAACTTTGTTCTTGTTTTCCTTCTTTTTCTTCAAGATACAAAATAGTTCTTGCCTATCTCTGTGCAATTTTTTTTGTGTTTGTGTTTTCTCGTTTATAATTTTGATAATTTGCCAAATATATTGGAAAGAAAGAAACGAAAAATTGTGTTTTAATTCATAATAAATTTATCTGTTAACATTTTTCAAAATGAGTGTTATTAAATATGAAAGAATAAAAGAAAAGTTAATATCGACAAAAACTTACTTGTTTTCTTGATTGTGTCTTATAAAATTTTCAGTTTTCTGCATCTAAAGAATCAAATCAAAGGTAAGCTTCACAATGCTTTTTGAAAACCGAAAGCAGTTCGTTTCCAATGGACTGTATTTATTTCAAATGCAATTTCAAGATTTAACAGAATTTCAACAATAATCTGACAAATTCTAACCAATTCTTAAAGCGTACTTAAAGCTAAAAGTAAGATTTTTAAGTATAAGGACATGCTTAAATTTTTCATCAAATCCACAGAATTAAAATCTGTAATAAATATATGATTCGCATGGTAAAAGCTCATTTCATCAAGCATCATTCAATGAACATTTCCTACATCCTTCATATGCTTCACATTTTGATTCTCTAAAGCACTTGCAGAAAGTGTTCATTCCAGATAATTTTTTTTGTTAACAATCTAGTTCCTCTCTTTCCTTCGAAAATCATGGATACTCAAAAATACACAAAAGTAGAATATTTATAAAATTTTGTTATAAAAAGATTGTCTGAAAAGCAAAAAGAGCAGCACTAGAAAAAAATGAATGGGAATTAGGATAATAAAGTAATAGAAAGGTAACTTCGTGCATCTAAAAATGCCTTTTTAAAGCAAAATAAGAAAAGGAAGAAAAAAAAAGGAAGAAATGATTTTGTGTTTCATTTTCTGCTTTCATTCTTTTGGGTATAGAATATATACGAGCAATCTAAATTGACCAACCCTTCAATAATCCTTTTACAGTCTCTTAACTTTAAGAAAAATGCTCGTATAGGGTGCTTCTTTCTCGAAAAGGATTTTTAAGTATCCACCTTCAATTTATAGCTGAATATTTTCTTCTTCAGTTCTCTAATAGAGAAACAAGTAAAAATAAATTCCTTTTTTGGCTGTCGATTGCGCATTCTATGCAATTTAAATTGATGAAATTTACACATCCACTTGAAAGCAGCATGATGAGTGTGTTTTTAAGACAATATTGCTTTAATAGCGTTGTAAATTTCAGGTTCAGTTGGTCCTCAATTTTTAACAAATGTTTTGTTCAAATCAAGCACTCTTCAGCGCTAAATTATTAGCCGAGGTAATTTATTTCACAATCTGTCTTATTAATTATTCTTCCCCATTTCGTTAGCTTTTAAGAAGGAAAAGGTTTTGAGATTTTTTGAACATTTCGATCAAAAATTTTTTTGATGTCACACGAGAGGAAAGACAAAATGGGAGATGTGTTGAATTTTTCACTCAAAAGAAGTCTTCTAAATAGCAATGAAGAATAAGAAAAAGAAAGGGAAAATGTGGGTTGGAAGTACTAAATTTTTCCGATTCATTTCCAGCTAATGGTTAAACTGAAAGAAAGGAAGAAAGAAAAAAAATGGAATTCTCATCAGGTTCAATGAAAAGTGCTGACGATTGTCAGAAGTAAATAAGTATATGTATTAAACTATTGAGCATCTATATTAGAAGGTAGGAAGATGTGTAAATTAAGATAAAGACGCAGAAACTTTCAATTATCATAAATTCATTAAAAAGTTAAAAATTGGTGATATATATATATATATGGCAAGGCTTTAAAAAGTCTTGATTATACAATGTTGGTATGAAAACAGAGGAAACATAATCCTCTTTCTGTATCCTTTACAAGCTTTTGACCTCGAATACATATACATCCAATTTATTTCAAATTTATCATTCTACATGTATTCTGCATGTAACTTGCTTATATCTTATACAATAGAAATAAATTTCATTTCAATGAGCGAATAAATGTTTTTCGATAATATTTCTTTTTGCATAATTTTATTCCGATTCTTGGAGAAAAAAAGAAGAGAAACTTTTATCCGACGTGCCTTAAATATACATGTATACACACAACGACATAAAGTGGCAGATTGTCGTATATCAGAAGAACGTATATCCTTTTTTTTCAAACACACAATGTGTTACATTCTTACAACGTTCCTTTCCTCTATTTTTCATATTTTTTAAGTCACTTTTTCAATTCTTTACTTCTTGCTGTAAAACTTGAAATGTTTTTAGAAAAGTTTGAAAAAGAAATGTAATTTATCATATCATTTGTTCCTTATAACCCGCTCTCAGAAGTGACTTCATTGAAATGTTGTGTAGATGTAGAATTGTATGTTTAGGTAGTTGTCACAAATATCAGTTGACATTTCTATGCTCTTTTTTATTTAAGTTTGATGACAAGTTTTAAGCATTTCCTAGAAATTGGGAAACAACTTTTTTTAGGGCGCTTTCGAATGAAGACACAATTAGGATTGAATGTGTCGGAAGTAAATTAAACATGATGTGTCATGAATCTTTTTATATATTGCCAAACTGTTATTGTTGAAAGAAATATACGTTTTTAATAGACTGAAGAGTTTCTATAGCATTACTCGCTGATGAAAAGTGAAGTTTGAAGTTTTTAAACATTAAGAAATATGGCAACATCTTGTCATACCAAAAGTGTTTAACTGGGGGGTCCTCGATTTAAGTAGGTGTTTTGTTCCAGAAAAATCCTAATCGAATCTACTCAAATCGAGGACCCATACTAAATTGCACTTGCTTAATCTATGATTAGTTGTCCAAAATATATCTGTCCATGGGTCAATGAAAACACCTTTAAGAATGTTATAAAGTTATTTTATTTATTAAACGTTTGTGAAAAAAATATTATTCCTCCTGTAAATCCAAATAAATACAAAAACTGAATAACACATGTCGTATGAAAAATTAGAAAAATTTTATTTTTTTGTCAAACTTTCTCGCATTTAAAGTTTTTCCATTATCCCTTTCAAATATAAATTTTTGTGTTTAGATGCGATAGAAGAACCAAAACTAAAAGAATTCTCAGCATAAGAATAGCAGGAGAAGGATATGTTCGAGATGACTTGAATAATAAAATAAATTTATGTACGTATTTAGTGAATATATGCGAAAGTTTTAAACACATTTCTTCACAATCTTCACTTTGATCCCTTAAGCATCTCTTCTTATTTTCTATTGCTTCTTTTTAACCAAATAAAACGTTTCTCAGGAAATTTTTCTTTTTGCTTCTTTTCAATGTTGCACAAAAGTATTCGAGAATATATAAATTGCAATTTGTCATCATGTAGTGGAGTAATTAAACCATTGCACTTTACATTAATAAACAAGTGAGTGAGTAATGAAACAATTTCATTGTCATGAGAAAATAAATTGCATCAAAATTAATTGAGATGGACGTTAATTTGATTACATTCACATTGCACTATAAATGTGTAAAAATATCGACATAAAAATCCATTGCAGATGCAGCACGAATTTAAATTAACAGCAAGTAACAATAAAAAATAATGAATTTAATTTCAACTTTATTGGTTTTAATTTTATGAAGTTCATTTCATTTAGTAATTTTATTGATATTTGAATATATAAAACTCATGATTATATCATCCAGAGCTTCCATTTAAAAATTTTAATGTTCATGAAAATATTCAACCATAAATCTTTAACTCCCCATTAGCTTCAATAAATTTTTCTTTTCTTCTAGTTTCAATGGAACTTTTTGGAATGAAAACGCAATTATATGAAAAAATTCTATTCAGATACTTTATAGGATGTATTGGTAAGCATTGCGAGAGGTAAAGCTGAAAAAAAATTAATTTTCTATGTCTGTCGCTCAATTCTTTTACAATAAATCATATTCTTTGCCTGTTTAAAATAAATTATTATTTTTTACGGTGGTAATAGGGAGGCAGTGCTGGTAATAAATATTATTGAAATCAAATAAGTCTACAAAGCATTTTTACTGGTCTTTTTGGTCTTAATTGAAAATGATTTAATATACACATGATTATTCATGCGGACAAAGATAGAAAAATTTCGCAGATATATAATAGAAACAATGGTAATGTGGTGCTTGATGGCAAGAGAAAATGGAATTTTTGACAAGGTTGGTAGACAATTACAAAGAAGAGCGTAAAATGTAATAAGAGTAAGAAGCCTCCTGATCATTCATAAAGTTATGTCATGCTTTTATTAGAAAAACAACAGGTGCTTTATAATCGCAAAATAAATAGATTTATTTATGAGCTCCGAGAAATTTTTTAATAGAATTGATTTATGATTTATTACCGGACATACAAAAATTGTTTTTCAAACATTTCATATTTTTTTATATTCAAAATTGTTATTTTCATTTATGTTAAATATTTTTTTGTTTGTTGAGTAATAAAGAGCATGACTTAAATATATATTTTTTTTGTGTTCAATAAGCAATCGTTTATTTGATCAGCTTTAAAATTATAAACATCAATTGGATTTAAAAAGCTTTATGTTACAAAGTATGATTAAGGATATTTTTTTAAAGCTTTTAGTAAAACAATTTTGTGTGAAATATATTTTACATTGAAGATGGGAACTCGGTTACTGTCTTAATATGTTTCTGATTGTAATAACTCTTGTCAATTTTTTTTTAAATCACATGCTCGCCAATAATCATTTTAAAAAAGTTCAAAATAAAAATGATAAATGGAGAAATTACGTGCATAAAACATATAATAAAGGAACGCGATAAAAAAAGAGCATCAAGAATGTATTAAATGAAGTGAAAGATTGCCAGTAAGTATTGTAAAAAATGATTTCAAGAGGGAATATAAAAGGTTCCCCTAACTGACATTTATTTCATTCCCCCATTTATCTATTATCAGCAATCAGGCATGTCACAAAAACACAAGAAAATGGTATAATCATAGCTACATGATATATACAAAAAAACCTGACTAATTGTTGCTTTCGAAAAAATTCATTTCTCACTCGTCGTTTGCTGCTACATTTCATGATACCTGATGCTGTCATTTTATGCTTCTCATTTCAATCTTTACCTCTAAAAGAATCATTTGTTCATTCTACTCTGCCCCTCCTTCTGTTCTCACCGTTGCTTCTTACAATAAAAACATCATTATTTCTTCAATCTTCACGTTACTCTCGCTTTTCCCATTCACCGTATTTGTTTCATTAATCATAACTTTCGTAAAGCTGCTGATGTTAAATGTTTAATGGACTGAATATTTGGCGATTTGTTTGTTGACGCCATGAAGCATTCAACATTGTTCTGTTTTCGTTCTCAAATTTTAAATTATTTATTTTGTAAAGTGTGTTGATAAACAAAAAGCAAGCAAAGCGAGAAATCGAGATGCTGAATGAAAATAATAAAACACAGGAAATTAAAAGATAATGATAGGAAATGAGTTCGTGATTTTAATTGAAATTTTTCTACTTAATGCTGAGTTGTTCTTGCGAATATTTTTTCTTTATAATTCAAGTACAAATATCCTTAACCATTGTGTTAAAAATTCATTAAAGTAATGAGAGCTTCAATAAGATTCTCTAATTGAAATTATTTTAATCAAATATGTGATCGGGGGGAAAACTACTATAAAGGGAAAAAAGAGAAATTTTCCATCAAAAATGGTAAAAAAGAGGAAAAAGGTAAAACTTTCATTTTTACCATCCAAGTGATTTTCCCACTGTATGTGATCCAATGTGATCCAGAGGTGCTCTAAGGCGTTTTGCAGCTAATGGGAGTTTAACGAGTGAGGATGCGCCAAACCACCGCACTCAAACCTAGAACTACAATTTATAGTGGGATCCGAACCAATCCTTTGCTGACATTTCTGTCTGTAGCCTACAAAGGAAGGCTGTGAGCCTCATTTCCAATACATATGATTCGAAAAAGGACAAGTGAATATGTTCCTACTCCCTGTCTCGAACCTATGATCGCTATGTCGGTATTGCAATAAGTATGTACCCAAGTACTAAACCATTCCACCATTTAGCCACTTCAGCTCACTGACCTTAAATTAAAGATCCGCTCATCTTAACCATAAGAAGAGTTGATCCGTTTAAACATTAAAACTACTCACAAATTTGCATAAAACTTTAATGAATAACAAATTGAAAACAAAAAAGACAACTACTAACGTAAAAAAAATCCTTTGATCCACAATCAAAAGCATTTGGATTGTTTTGTGAGAAATAAAAACCAGCAAAACTTTCAATGCCTTTTTTTTGATGGAAAATAAATTGAATACAATAATTCAATATGCTCAAAAAAGAAAGAAGAAATTTTTAAACACACATAAAATATATTTTTTCGTTCTCATTTTGAATAATCACAAATCTCTCATCCTTTCACACACACATCAACGTTTGGAAAGACCAGTGGTTGCTGAATTATATTTTTTGTGAAGGTGATAAATACGTGATAGGGATTTTGGCATCAGGAAAAGCTTCTATAAATTTTTACAATGGCATGAATGGATAAGTGGATGTGAAAGAATGAATAATATAAAATTATTTTCTCGTTTTTGTTTGGAGTGCTTTACAAAAGAAGGGAATAGCTGATGGGTTTACGAGTTTTTATAGTTTGAACTTTTCGACATGAAAAATGGCTTTGTGTGAAGCCTTTACCTTCGACAAATGCTTGAAACTTTAAAATTAGGATAGGAAAATTATGCTCATCATTCCTTCATCACGATTACTATTGCTTCTTTCTTTTGAATGCTGTTCCATAGCTCTGTTTTTATACTAGACGGGAAAAAAGTCAAATCGAGAAGTTTTTACTAAAATTAGATTTTCTGAATAAAAAAATGAAAAGTTTTTAATTTAATTCCATTCCTGTAAAGGCAAAGTTTGTAGTAAATGAATGAGTAAAATGGGTTTCTCTTTTATATTCAAGTTCCAACTATTTCAATGTCTTTTCAATTTACGTAATTATTTATTATCATAGTTTTTCATGTTAAAAGTTGCTTTGTAAAAATTGAAAGCTGAGCTGAAAAGTCTGAAAAATCAATAAGAATTGCTTTTAAGAATAAAGGCTTAATGATCATATTAAGGGTCACTTGAACATAAATTTAAATAGGATGAAATATTTTTTCTTAATACAATTTAAACAAAGCAAATTAATAGGAGTTGAAAGGACTTTATTCACTAATAGTTCCTTAAATTTTTTTTATGCATGCGACATAGCTTCAAAATGACAAGAGAAACTTTTATGTTAACAAAAATATTAAAGTAATTACAAGAAGCTAGAAAGTAAATTTATATGATAGAAATGTTCGTGAAAAATTCACATGTTCATAGAATAACAAATGGAAACTTTTTACCCTCATACTAACCTGCTTAAAACTTTCTCACTTGTATTCTTTCTTTTCGTTTGTTGTTCCTTCAATACACATTGTTAATGTATACAATGTGCATTGTAAATATTCACATATGAATGTGAATGCATTGAAAATGTTTGAACAAAATGAAGCAAAAAATGCTTGAAGTTGAAGAAGTGCTGATTAAAGTAAAAATGTCACAACATTAACGCATCGAAAAAGATTTATAAAGTTAATTTTAGGTTAGCTAGATTCAATTGGACTCCTTTTTTATCCTCAAGAGCGCAACTTGAAATTTATTGCAGTTAAACCTTAATTTCGATTTCCTCGTGTCTTCAATAAAGACGATGCTAAATAAAGACTGATTCAAAAATTCAGACATTTTGAACATCCAACAAAATTTGATTTTAAAAATTCACCGAAAAGAGTAAAACTTTTCGTAGCACCCTCAAAGTAGTTCTAGCGTGAGAAAAAGTTCATTAAAAGTTTTGTTCACAAAGTTTTTTTTTCGTTCCATATTCTTTATTACTCCATCCATACAATTGTACAATGAGTTAAATTTTCTTTTTTTCATTTCTTTATTTATGTTTATGTTTTACAATTGCATTTAAAAGTGAAATAGTTTTATTGTGTTTCATTTTCTTTTGAATACTTTTGTTATGAAAAAAATGAGGAAAAATCTCCGTTATTCGTTTACGTTTTGTAATATCCATCAATGTTAATGTTAACGATTGTTTTATATAATTTTTTTTTATTTAAAAAAAGGAAGAATAAATTTTCTTCTAAGAATTAACAACAGAATGAATGATTTGACAATTTGATGCTTGAAAATGTATGACACAAGCAGCATAAAATTTCAGTACAAGATCGACTAACTTGTGACTTAATAACGATGAACAAAACCATACTTTAATGATCCTTGACTGTTAAATTGAATATCTTTTGCGCGATAATAGAGTATTCAATGTCAATTGGCTTAGTATCATCGTATCTGTTTTGTGGAAGAGAAAAAGAAGGAAAATAAAGGGATGTAGATTTGCTTAGATAGATAACAATAGAAAATACTTACAGTGCTGGTGCTTCACAAAGAATTGCAAATGTGCCAAATAGTGACGCCATTGTAAAGAGCCATAAAAATAAACGGTCCAATACTAAAGCCACAAAACCCCAATCTGCGTCTTCCTGTTTGTTTAGATAATGATGATGATCATGTTTTCAGCATTTCATTGTTAATGTATTTTTTTTTGTTATTTTTAATACGTTAAGTCATCAATGAATACCATAAGAAAAAAATGAAAGAAATAAAGATTTCAGCATGAATTTAAGGTTTAGCTTTTGTTTGGCAAATAAACATATGATTTTCAAAAAGTCTTTTCACCTTCTTTAGAGGCAAAAGAGTGAGAAGAAGTGAAAAAAAATGGAAATTTATTGCACTTGTTTTATGCTCAATTTAAGTGTGTGTTTTTAACACAATTGAGTTTCATTTTCACATAACAAGAGAAAAATGGAAAATAAATAGAATCAGCAGCAAAATTTACGAATTTTTTTATATTTCCATTTCATTCTTCTGTTTGCTCTTGTTAGACGTTTTTGCCTCTGCTGATGTTGTTGTCATGTGAAACGAATGAAAATTGTGTGCCATTAAATAGCACCCATTTACAATGCGGTTTTTGAAAGAAAATTGTTTACACAATGATGCAGTTGTAGAATTGCATTGCTTTAAAATCTTGATAATAATGTACTGTACATTGCATGACTGCAATTACTAGAAAAAACAGGGTCGTAAAACTTATTTTATCACTAAAGGAACTAGCAGGTAAGAAAAGATGATTTGGTCTAAGAATTCTTAATCTTCTATGAAGTTAATTTAGAGTTTTTTGGCATGGATGTCTCGTAAATCGTAATTTCTCACGTTATTCTCTCTTTAAATCAAAATTTTTTTTGCTCAACTGATCAAGAAAGGAGATGCACGGAAATAAATTTACGGTAATGACATTAAATGCCGCAATATAATAACAATAATAATAAAAGACCTTCTCAGCAGGGAACAAGGAGATAACATAAAAGAGGAAAAAATGGCAATTTGCATTTCAATTTTTTTTTTCTTTTTGCATAACACTTACGGCATTAAACTCATCCTGACGTTGCATGTGATGTTGAATGAACATGACATTATGAATAGCTTTTTCTAATTCAAATGGATATTTTCTTTTGGCACCAACATCGCTCAATGAGTCATCTAATCCTGATGATATTAACGATGGTAGTCCATTATATCCTTCATGGGATTTGTTGAAATGAGTATATTAAATGGCAACGGGTGGGCATTTGTAGAAAATGAAGATGGAAGTGAAAAAAAGTGTGGGAAGAAAGGCATGAAGAGATAAGAGTAAAAATTAAAATAATTTTTACGAAAAAAATGGATATTTGTCTTTTTGTTTTCTTTACCTCCACCACTTAATCCGACACCCAGAGATCCAACTAATCCGCTGAATCTAATGTTCAAATGATAAACAGACATTCAAGGAAAAAATTAAAGAAAAAGGAGATTATGACAGAGTTGATGAATTTCTTATTTGCTAAATCAACATTACCGATTTGTAGCTGTTGTAGAATGAAGTCCATTGCAGCCTGGCCGTCCTTGCATAGCTCTTATCGAATCTGGTGAACTACATCCCGAATTGCTTTGGAATTGTGCATTTAATGCTGCATTGAATTTCGATTTTTTGCTTGCATTCTTGTTGGCAGCCTTAATGCCATAATTAATTTTGTTGGCTGCCAACTCCTTAAGCAAATCTTTTGGCACCCTCATCAACAATAGACGAGGAAGTGTCTTTATGAAAAAGCTTCTTACCCACGGAGCCATTTTATGTGTTGAGGGTTTGCGGTAATGTATGTTAAGTATACCAATAGTGACAACGACACTTAGACCAACTAATATCATAGTGAATAGTAGATATTTTCCCAACAATGGCAGTGCGAGAGACGTTGAAGGTATAATTTCTGATATAAGCAAGAAGAACATCGTTTGCGATAATAAAATGCTAATACATAATGCAACTTTTTCACCAGAATCAGCTGGCAAATAAAATACGAGAACTGACAGGTATGAAATTCCGACACATGGAATGATTAAATTGACGGTGTAGAAAAGTGTTTTACGACGTAATGTTATGTTGAAAACTGGATGAATAGATGGAACAAAATGAATGCAAATTTTTAATACTTTATAATCTCATTACAGCAATCAACGTATAATTACTAGTACTTACATATATCCTAATATAATAAAGTGAAGAGTAAAGAGAAAATAGTAATTATTGTTAAAATGAAAATGCAATGAGCTTACCAAATAGGCTTCACTAAAGTTGAAAAGTAAAAGAGGAATTTACATACATTTACATTAATACGATTTAATGCCTTTAAAATTAGCCCTTTTAAACTCACCTGCAGCATGGGTAATACTTTTCATGTCTTTCTGCAGGCACCGCAAGAATATCCCATTCAACGGATGGGTAGAATTCTCGTAAATCAATTCCTATCTTAACTATATTTACAGATGTATTAACTTGATTTTTGTGCATCAAATCAATCTGTAAGATTTTTTTTTTGATTGAAACTTATAAAAATTAAATAAAGTCATTGAATTAACTTACTTGATTTCCATCATACGTCCAGGATCCAAACTAATGAAATTCATTCAGAAAATAGAGCATTGTTATAATTCTTCCACAGGTAACATGATATATGAAACACTTACCTTCATGAAGCATGTTTGCTGGTCAAATGGGAAATATCGTACATCAATTTCACACGATGATTTGAAAATTGCAGGCGGATTCCACAGAACCTAGAAATGTTTGCGATAACATAGAAATTTCGGAAATAGATAGCTAAAATAATTTCAATGTACCTTTCCAGAATAATGTAGAATAGCTTTTGTTAGAGTTGTTACAACATATTCACCATCCGCACTGAACATTTGTGCATGAATATGAATGAATGCATTTATACAAGTTGAATTCGTGCGTATACATGAATTTATAAGGAAGGAAGGAGAAAAAGAGCACACAACGGTAACATTAAATATAATTGCATAATGACAAAATTTATGAGATTGCAATATATGTCATCCCTTACGGCAATTTTATTATGGTAAGTGAGATAGGCGTATTAAATGCTTTTTTTGTATGCATCATGAACGCATTGGGTATTTTCAGAAATGAAAATTGAGGTTTAAAATTCATTTATGAGATATCTATTGTATATTCAAGCTCATTCTGAACAGCCTAGATAAAATTTTTACATTTCAATTTTTCACAATAAACATCTAACAAACCACTTTTTATAACAATCACTATATAAAGCTTAAAGTGAGGTAGAGAATAAACAATAAAAAAAAAATTGTTGAAAATTGAAATAAAAAGAGAAACGTAATGCAATTAAAAAGTTTTACAATATTTATTTTAGTCTGGTAAAAGTTTCTGTGCTCTCAGATTTCGCATTGTTAGGTTTTGGCTCGACGTGAATTATAACAAAGCACACAATCTGTCCACAACATAATTTCTGATTTTCCATTCCCTTTTTTAATACAACGCGCTGTAGGTCAAAAATATAATCATGTGATAAAATATTTGCTTATCATTATATGAGATCATATAAATGCAGCATATATACAACAGGACAGATAGGAGCAGTAGATGGCAACAATTGTTAATACGAATAAGGGATGTGTCCACATGAGAGCGAATGATTTAGCGAATGAAATTTACTATTCATCAGATTTCTACATTTCCTACTATTACTCATCTTCATATTTATTTTGTAAATAACATTTTTTCCACATATTTATCTACTTCACTCACTCCTGTTCCATATAAGTTTACTAAAAAATTCGCACTGCATATGGATACGTTCATATTCACAACAGTCCCCTGTAGATGTATTTATGATTATGAATATTTGTCATATTTGTATTCTTTTTATGGTTAAAACTTCTATCTGTCTCTGTTGCCATGTGAATAAAATTCAAGATTGTCGTGTTTGCATTTATTTTATAATATAGTGTCTGGGAGTATTCAAATGCCGATCCTTATAAACTTTTTGCTCCATTTTCATTTGTCAATAGTATTTAAGTCTTTAGATTTGTTTTTTGTCAAGTATATAAAACTTTAGGAAATCGTTTATTATTACAAAAGGCTTAGACTAAAATAGATGCAAATGTATCCCAGTTTCCTACTACTCTCTCTAGTTTCGTATTTTAATATTTATAATACGTACAGAAAATAATTTGATGAAACGAAAACAGAATTAGTCTTGAAAATCGATTACTAAAATGTAAATGCACTCAATTTATGTATGCACTCTTGAGATTTACTTTTCGTCGATAATCGTTTTGAGGAGTGTAATTTCAATGCATACCTTAAGTGCAATAAGTGCACATAAGTGCTATGAAAGAATTTTGCGATATTTCAATAGATTCCCATATGAATATCATAACTGACGCTGTTAAGTATTTCAATTCACATATGACGATGGTGAATGTATGGAAATGAGAAAAGAAAATCCAAACATTTCAAGCACATGTCGCCTAGCGTTCAAAAATCATTGATACTTTCTTCCAATATAAATCATAAAGAGCAATGTGAAACAAGTGCTTCAATATGCAACCCTCTTTACTCCTTTATTCCATGAAAATCAATCAGACGCGATAAATTTATGTTTTTCAATTTTCCCATTTTTTTGTTTTCGAGAAGAAGAACAGGAATAAAGTGAAGCAGATTGCAATTCTTTTGTTTCTGTAGTTTTTTATTTCTTTTTTTTTCATATCGAAATGAAAATTGATTTTTTTCTTTTTTATTTTGTATTTTTTCCTTCGATTTGATGAAATTCAAAGCAAAAGTAGAGCATTGCTTTCATCACTTTTATGTACGAATGCCAAAAAAATTGTTTTCAATTCTGCTGTTCTGTGTATGTGAGAAATGAATGTTTTTTTTTTGCCATTTCAAAAAGGAACTCATTCAATTATACGTCTAGCAGAAAATCGAAAATTTAAAATGGGAAATGAAGAAATTTATATTTTATTCAATTTCTTCATGACAGCACATAATTAGACTTAAATTGTTTTGAGCCAAAAATTGAACTTTTCATTGTTGGTGTTTATAGGATTAAATTTTCTTGATGATTTGGCAAAAAGTTGTTTATTGTTGATTGAATAATGATAGAATAGAATGGATCAAAGGATGCTGAAAGCTTATGTGGAATTAAATTGTAGCAAATGTTCAATGTGCAGTTCAAAGTTAACATTTATATAATTTTTCTATCATCATATTTCAATTCATAAACTTAAAATGGAAAAGCGATTTTTCTTCTTCTTCAAAATAAAATTTTAAAAATACCTTCTTTGAATTTCATCTTAATTATTTTCATCCATTACCCTCATTTCCTAACAAAACTTGTTAATTTTTTTTCTCAAAAGAAATCTCACAAAGAATGATATTTTTTCATACTTTCGTCTGTTCAAGTCACGTAGAGTCAGAAACGACAATGCATGTAACGTTTTTAGAATTTTTTTTTTAGAAATAGAAATCCTTACTTAATTAAATCTTAAGAAGTTTGGTTGTATGAACTTTCTATTCATTTCAAAAACTTTTGCTTTTTTTTAAGTTGCTCTGGAGAAATCATTAATAATAAAAATAGCAACTTATTTCGTAATGAAAAAGTTATAATGCTCATTAAGTGATGGCATGAAGAGGAAACCCGACCTACACTCATTTTATTTTACGTCTAGTGACATTATGGATAAAAATAATGTAAAAAATTGTCAATTTCAAGCAGTTGAATTCAATAAAGCATCTTTTAGGAAAATAAACAAATTAAAGACAAACTCAAACTTTCTATCAACTCAACTGACTGTTTTTCTTTCAGAATCTCGAGGGCTTCATCAAGAAGAAAGAAACAAAAATTTTATGCTCGATTTCGTGAGAAACGAAAACTGTTTTGTACCATCCTCATGGTACCCTTGTCATAGACTCAATGCAATCATGTTCCAAAAGCACAAAAGACACTCACGATGTTAGCAAAGGAATTAATGAAGCAAAATATTTTCCTTTTACAATGTTTCTGATTGCCCATAATTAATCAATGTTCGCGTAAAAGCGGGTATAGTGTGACAAGAATTATTAATACTTTTTATTCTATTTTTTTGTCCTTCGAAATGACTCTTAGAAAATAACAACACAAAAGGAAATGAGAAAATGGTGCATGGACATAAGATGTAATAATATTTTGTTTTTTTTGGGGGGATAAAGGAAGGAAAAAGAAAATTCAAAATGACTTTGATGAAAAATGGACTGTTCATTTATCTTAATAACTGTGCTTTAATTAGTTTGCTTTTACTCTCTAAAATGTTTTATTTTTCTTACAAAAAGGACTAATTTTGTGTTTGTTAATTTTAAATATCCTGTCAACTTCGTCTGTAAGGGAGGGAAATACGAAGCTTAAAGCTTCGCCTGACGAAACCTATTTTCCAGAGGTCGAAGTCGATGAAGCAAACTCACTTCATTTCACTAAAATTTCAATCGGTTTCAAGTCAGCTCGAGTGAACTCATTTTTTTCGTGTTCACTCGAGTCGACTTTTAACCGAGTTGATTTTTTCATGTTCACTTTAGTTGACTTTTAACCGAGTTGATATTTTCGTGTTCACTTTAGTCGACTTGAAACCGACTTGATTTTTTCGTGTTCACTCGAGTCAACTTTTAACCGAGTTGATTTTTTCGTGTTCACTTTAGTCGACTTGAAACCGACTTGAGTTCACTAAGGAAAAAACAATGTAATATACCAAACTGATTTCTGCTAGTGCTTGTGAAGTATATGTGATTACATACAAAATTGCAGAATTTGTCCTTTTTTACTTTTCATAACCATAAAGCAAACTAAACGAATTAATTTAAAATATTTTTTAAATTTCATATATTTTATAAATGTTTTGCACTGTAGATTATTTTTCTGATTTGAAAATAATTCATTACGAACTGCTACAATTATGAATGAAATTATTTTAATTCACACCATATTTCCAAATTTGGTGAATATATTTTAATCTCATATTTATTTGTTTGACAACATTGATATATTGATAAGTGCACTGAATGAATCGTAAATTCTATTTTTGTTCTCACTTGTTTTTAATTTCACCATTAAATATAACACTTCTTTAATTATAGAGTTAAATTTCTTTAAAAAACCATAATAGTAATTAATTTATTAAATGAAATAGTACAAAGTATGAGTGGACAATTATTTAAATTTCTTTAAGGTACAAACATAAATAATGAAAAAAATTTAAAACTTGAATTATAATAAACTGGAAGTTTGAAAAATATTTTAAATTAATTCGTTTAGTTTGCTTTATGGTTATGAAAAGTAAAAAAGGACAAATTCTGCAATTTTGTATGTAATCACATATACTTCACAAGTACTAGCAGAAATCAGTTTGGTATATTACATTTTTTTTCCTTAGTGAACTCAAGTCGGTTTTAAGTCGACTAAAGTGAACACGAAAATATCAACTCGGTTAAAAGTCGACTAAAGTGAACATGAAAAAAAAAAAACTCGGTTAAAACTCGACTCGAGTGAACACGAAAAAAATGAGTTCACTCGAGCTGACTTGAAACCGATTGAAATTTTAGTGAAGTGAAGTGAAGTGAAACGACTTCACTTCACCAACTTCGACCTCTGCTATTTTCTTATAAAATTCAAAAAAATTCCTTTACTTTAATTTTTGCATTCTCATAAAGCATATCGAAACATAAAACTTACTTGTTGTAAAGAACAATATCTGGTAGCCTGTAATCAAATTTATTATCTTGATTTATTATTTGCAGAACTTAATTAGATGTTTCCTATAACTCACCAAATGTGCTCAGATGGAACGTATAATTCAGTAACACCACCATACTCCAATGGATCCCATTTGAACTTGTGATCTTGCCATTCATGCTCTAACCAGATGTTTGTTGTTAGAATTTGATCTTTTAAGTTCTGCAATCGAAAACAAAAACAGACATTATATTAATTTTATTGCTAGTTATTAATTCCGTTAATTACTTAAGTTTATGGAAATAATTTAAGAAATTCAATCTTTAATAATCGATTGGATAGCAATTGCAAAAAACGATATAAAGCTTCATCACCAACCAGTCACTCTATGAGTCAAAATAATCCTAATTTACCATTTCTATAGACATAAGTAGCTGACCTGTTTAATCTGCTTTAAAATTTCGAAATAATGAATAAGATTGTTTTTGTAATTTATTGTTTCTAGTCAAGCTTACAATCAAGCCAAGCTCAATCTATTCTCATCTCAATTGCAATGTAAATTTTACGTTTCTAAGTGTTAAACTTTTAATAAGCAGAAAAAAGAGAAAACTTTTTCATTCTCGATGTGGTTTAGTTCATCCCATTCTTTATTTTAAACTATCAAAATTAAATGAAGAAGGAAGATCTATTTTCTATATTTCCCATTACGAATTCTAACCATTAATTTTCGATGAGAAAAATCTGAAATTGTAATTTTTGCCACTTGAAAAACAGTAAATGCATTAAAAGCTTAAGATTTATGTCACTTTTCGGTCCATTTTTAAACAGTTCAACCATAAATTTAGCTTTTCATTTTCCAACATTGCGGCTGCTAGTGAATGTGTTGTATTGTATAAAAGCAGCAGTAAGGCTTTACGTTTTAAATTTATTTTTTTGTTCTGCTCGCTGTGCATGAACTTTTCTGTGTACATATCCAAAATCATATTTGAAGTACATGCAGTCAGATATATATTTTTGGCTCTATTCCAATAAGCCAGCCAAACATAGAATTGTGTATGAAATATTACAGACACATAGCATAGAAAAAATGCAAAAGAGATAAAGATTGTTGTTGATGCCGCCTAAAGAGATTTTATGGCAACCAAACATTTAAAATTATAGAAAAGAATAATTCTTCATGATTATTCAAATAATATTGTCTCATTAATAATACATCCTCAATATTTTTGTAGTTACAATCATTCAATATTTTATTTTAATTTAAATTTTTTTATTTCACGTAAAATCTAAGATATTATTCCTCATTTTTCTCCACAAATGATTTCTGTCTACCAACTTAAAGCATCAAAAGCTACAGTTGCAATTTAATTTTGATGATATGAATCAAACGTTACATAAATAAATACATGTATATAAACATAAAAATTACTATGACTGTGAAAGAGCCAGATCCAATTCATTAAGCAAAGAGTTGAAAATTTAATTAAAAAGTTTTCAACATAGTCCCGTCCTTTGTATCGCCCTTATTCTCATTTCGTTAAAATACTCTTTAATCTTGATTTCATTTAATAACTTTTCTAAATTTTAACTGTCAAGCCCCTTTTGGACCCTTATTCGAAACGAGTTTTAACATAATTAATTTAATAGGCATATGAAGCTTTTGTTATTGTGGTTGGATGAGTGAAAGGTGTTTGAATAAATTTTATAAGAACAATGCATTTAATTTTCAAATGGTTTAAAATGTTTTATGCAGTAACAGCTTTATAAGATCCACCAATCGTAAAATTTATCTCAAAAAGCTCATATTCTTGATATTTTAATTTGCTTTTGGTGCTATGTGATGTTTTTAATACAAACCTCATAAAACAGTAACTTTATTAACTTAGATGAAAAACACCTTTTGATATTTAATCATTACTATATCTTTATCAGCAGAACTTATTCTTGCCTTAATTTTTATTAAAAATTAAAATTGTTCTCAAAAAATATCATTAGATCCAGTATTAAACTAGACACTGATATCTTGTGTGCACTATTAAGAGTTCCTCATTTCTTCCTTTTTAATATTATAGAATTTAAAGAGCATTAATTCCTAAATTATCAGCACACATGTACACTTTGAATTGATTTGAAAGGTCAACAACACTGGATTAATGAGCTTTAATAAAAACTAGAGCTTTGAAACACTTGATTTAAAATTAATCAATCATGAATAAATTAACTGTGAATATGCACTCAAGCGATTGTTTGCTTAACATATCAATATCAAAATATTATGTCAACAAATTTTGAACATAATCAAATTAATTCAAAGGTGTGTATTTTATGATGATTTTCAAGAGGTTGTTATCACAAAACCTCCAATAATGTTTATCCTTAACGAGATGATACATCTTAATTTTATGGTTGTGTAAATAATGATTTTGATTGTCAATTTTAAGTATTGATTGCTTTTTGAATTTTTTAATAATTTCAATTGAAATTTCCGACACTTCTGTCAGGTTTGATTTCCTTTTTTTAACATCAGAAAGGAGAAATATATTTTTCATTTATCTTGTTTCGTGAAAATAATTTTGATAACATTTTGACAACGTTTCCAAATCTCTTTGATATTGAGAAAGCAATCAAGATTGTAAATCTATCAGAAAACAAATCAAAATGTCACTCACCAGATCAATCAATTGTGAGAGCCGTAAGCCCAGCTTTACTAAAACTGTATCAGTATTGTTGCTTACAGGACGAATCAATCGATTATAATTGCTCAATAAATCATCATAAAGCCTTTTGGCATCAGGATTTGCTTCGATTCGTTGAATGCCAATAGTCAAAAATGATGAGAAAATTATAGTAAATTTTAATGCAAAAATTTCTCTCAAATTCATTTTTTTTTATTTTAATTTTATTGTTATTGTTCGATTCCTCATTTATCAAAAGTATTGAATTTCACAGACTTCTTATTGCCTTGATCTAACTTTGATTTTCACATTTAATAAGGCTCATCTAAATTTTAATTACGTTTTGCGATATTTTTGACTTTATTTTCACAAGAAAAACTCTTTTTAATTCCAAAAATCAAGATGAGGGAATTTTGACGTCAACAAAACTTTTTTTTATTCTCCTCTCAACTTCAGTTTATTTTGTTTTTTCGCCGACAGACAGCAGCTCTGTTGTTTTCCTATGTTTTTCCTTCTTGCTTATATTTCTCAAAACTCTCACCCGCTATGTATGCGAGAAAATCTTGCTTTCTTCCACAATTTCTAACTTCCACAACATCCTCTTTATCAATTCATACTGATTTGGTGTATACAACATGCAGGGAGAGATGGAAAGAAAAAAAAGCATACACAAAAATATAGAGTTGGAATGTTATACAGAAATTTTTAAAATGAAAGGAAGAATATACAATAAATCGATTTTGTTGTTGGCGCATGAGCTTTCTATATAAATCCTAAAAAATAATGGAAAGTTAAAAATTCTCTCACAAAATCTGTTACTGGAAGCAGCATCCCAACTGCTCTATATCTCATTGGAATTGCTTTGAAATGATTTTTCTCATCTGCTTTGGGTGTGTTATGCTATGAAATATTTTCCTCTTATTCTTCTGTGCTTAAAGACGTCAAAAGAAAATATATGCGAGGAAAAATGTCGTTGTAGGGTACAAAAAAAAGGAGAGCGTAAAGCAGTTAAGATGAGGAAGAAGAATAATCTTGATGTTCATGTTATCGAGGCAAATAAAATTTTATGGAAAATACATTAAAAAGATGTTTGATTGACGTTTAGTATAAGAGTCCTCAACTGAACGCCTAGGAAAGAAAATTCATCTGAAGAGATCTTTAAATTTTCTTTCTTTCATTCTTTCATGTTTTTATGTTGCCATTTTTATGCTTATGCAAAAGTAATCCACTTTTTTTCTCACTAAGATTATCTTCAATATTATATGTATACATACTTGTGCAGCAAATGAAATTGATCCATCGATAGATTTATGACGGTGAAGAGATATAATTTCATCATTAATCTTATTTTCCTATAAGATCGCTTTTATGTCATTCACTTATTACGAGTATTCAGAGATTACATCTCCTTTTACTTTATTAGAATGTAATTAAAATTGTGAATTTAATTTACGAAATTGAAAAATTCAGAATGTGGTGAATGCTTAAAGAAATTAAAAAGAACGTAAAATTGCTAGCTTGCATAAGCTTAATTTGAAAAACTGTATATCCCAAAAAAAGTTAGAGAGATGTAGATTTTTCGAAAAAAATTTCTGGAATTTTTATAACTTCTTTTGTGGAATTTAATTCTTCCTTCATCCTCTTCCTTTTTTAGGAGCTGCTTTTAAAATTCTTCAACCCAAAAAACCATGTTTTAGTCTACAAATGCTCTCAACGATGCTTTTTAGATGATGGCAGGCTGAAAAATGGAAATAAAAACTTGTGTGAAACATTTTATTGCTGTGTTTTCTTTCTTTGACTTTCTCATTTTATATTCCTTTCATTTTTGCTGTAAAATATTTTTCGTCTTCTTCTGCTTATCTACTGAAATACTCAAAAGATTCTTTTTATGGCATATCAGATTGCAAATGCGAGGAATTTCGAGACAGTTTATTGTAGCAACTTTTTTGAATAATTATTTTTTTTTTTTTTGAAATAAAATTGGGGATTTGTGTATACGCTATATGGGTTTTTTCATCTATTCTAACTGCTAAGCTAGCCTTGCTTTGAAACATTGTGTGATGATCAGAGCTCGAAGTCAATGAAATTTTGTATGGAGTCGTTTCCGCCATAAAAAATTGATGAAAATCTCAAATCAACTTCGAGCTCTGGTTATGGTTTTTAATTGTTAAATCTCGAACAATTCAAATCTCGAACAATTCAATTTACAAAACAATTCTTTTTATAAGTTTAACTCATGCGAAAAGCTTCGTTGGGCGGGCCATGCTGTTAGGAGACCTGTTGAAGCTTCCATTAATAAAGTTCTTAAGTCCGATTTTGTAGATGGAAACAGAGCACGTGGACGTCATATGAACTCTTAGAGAGATGCTGTTGACAGATACAGTATTACACTTGGTATTGGTAATTGGCAAGCGGTAGCCTGCGATAGAGCCAGCTTCAGGCACCATGTATCACAATTGATCTTTACGGAAAGAGAAGTAAGTAAGTAAGACTAAAATAACAAATAAATAAAGAATTCATGATGTGTTGCGTCATTTGTGTCGCCCGGAGAAGGGTCGTTAAAATCTAGTTATTTTATGTTAAAAATATTAACTGATTGTTCGACTCTGTATTACAGATGAATGAAATCTATTTAAAACCTCAAAATGCGCATTGCCTATTCTATTCAATTTTTTATTCCACAAATTTAGAGCACCTCTTTGCCACCATTTCCGATATAAATTCAACAATGTTTAAGTAGAACAAAATTTTATTGCATGCATAAATGAATATGATGAAAAGTTGCGCTTTTGTATTAAATTAATATATATGCACTGTTAAAGTAAGTGTGTATGTGAAGCAAAAGTCAACATCTGACACATTTTACAACATGATAATATTTATGCGAACTTTTCCTCTTCGTAGATTGCTGAAAATATAAGAAGATTAAAATTATTTTAGATAAATGTATTTAAAAACTTGATAGTGCAAAGTTTATAAGAAGTGAAGAAAAAATAAATAGAATGCTTTCTCTATTTGTGCATAATGCAATTTTCGTTGATTACATCATTCTGCTGTCGCATGCAATACATTGCTATATTTTCATTAAATTTTTTTCTTTAGCATCTGTTTGCTCGTGTATCGTGCATCTTTATGTAATGTGCATTATGGAATGAGAGATGAAAGCACTTAGTTTTTCTTTTTCTGTGCTGTGGATGATAGGTTGATAACAAGTAAGAAGTGAAGCAATCTAAAGAGCATGCTATTTACAATTATATTGCGGTATTACATGATAGAATAAAATTTCATTTTTTTTAAATTTTTTTATAACTTTTATTCGAAGTGCTTCATGTATATTATATACACAATCTAGCACAAAAACTGTAAATCGAAATCACAGAATGAAAAAAAAAATATTCTCTCCATTTTACTATGTGCTTTTCATTATATACCACTATTACTACTTTTCCTATCACGCTGTGCATTCAACTATAAAATTTATTGAACATTTAAAAAGTCGGCCATTAAAAGCTACCATCACAATTCAGAAAAAAGAAGAATTGAAAGAGAGGAATTTCATTCACATGATGCATTTGAACATAAATTTGATGGGTGGTGTGGGAGACAGAGCAAAAAGGTTTAAATTATTCATGAAAATAGAGATCGATGCATGAGGGCATGTCGGTTGGTAAAAGAGTGTAAGTAATTGCATGCAATAAAATTTGAAGGAATACGATATAAATTCAATTGCTGAATGTATAAGAAGAAAAAATGACACCCATTTCCATTGGAACATTTCTTATTTCTTTTTTTAGATGTCGCATCGATAACATCTTAAATTTCAATATTTTAAAGTTATTCATAATTTTTCAGTTCAAATTCTTTAGTGATAAATTTATATGTATGCAAATGATGCGAATACTTGCTTTATAAGATTTTAAAAACATATCGAGAATAAGAGAACCAGAAATATTATTTGAAAACAAACTCAAGAATTATAATGTGAATTTATGTTTCATATTCTATTTTTGTAACTATGATTGATATTCGATTGATATGACTATTTATGCTAAATATTTGAATATCTTGTTTGATTCTCTCTAAAATTCAAATTTGATAATTGTTTGTTTTAAATTGTCAATTGTTTGTTTTTGAAATTTATTTTAAGAAAACAAATTCATGCCTCAATTTAGTTTACGAGAATTTGTAAACATTTTAAGTAATTTTGAGTAGAAAATTAAAATATAAGGTGGAAATAAATATAAAGTTCAGCAAGACGTAAAATTTAAATTTATAATTTATACAGTTAATTTGCATTAACTTATATGTATATGCGTAACATAATTTGTTAATGGAGCATATGAGTATGCTTAGTTTCGTTTTGATGTAGCAAATAAAGCAAATTTCACATTTTTAACGTCATAAAAGTTCTTTAATGCTTTTATATTGTAATGCATTATTTTTACGAGTTTAATGTGAATGAGGTGGCAGGTGAAAGAAGTTAGCAAGCAACAGAAGCACGTCAGAGCCTTTTTCTCCGTTTTTACACGTAACATACGCATACATATCACCTACTTTAATAATTTTATATGCCTCATTCGAAACATAAATTGTGTGCCAAAACCACACATACGAGGATGAACGAAGAAAATTGAGGGAGAAATTTTAGTGAAACTTATCCTGTTTTTTTTCTGATTGTGTTTCTCTATTAATTTTTCTTTTCATTATCTTTATTCTTAGACTAATTTTCTATACTTTGATACAATAATCAGTGTGCTCTGCATTCCTACCAATTATCACGAGATAAGTCATAATAATTTCGGTCATTACATTTCATGTGCCATCTCACTCCGTGCAGAATAAATCACGATCTTATTGCATATACAAAGAAAATAAAAAAAGAGAAAAAATCATATTTTATAACTTTTAAATTACAACCCACCAATCCCAGTAATGCTAGTTCTTTCTTGAGTAGATTCACTTAATTTATGATACAATAGCATTCTTATTCTATGCCCTATTCCATAAAAAAATGAACAAGACGAGAGAGTAAAAAATTTCTATACATTCATTCATTCATCTTCATACTTATAGCAGTGGAAAAATCTCGAAAATATATTTGTATGTATACATTTAATAATAAACCCTTACAAAAATTTTATTACTTCAGAAGTAAAAAAAAAACTTTTCGTCATTTGATTTTTTCTTCTTTTTTTCGTTGTTCAGCTGCTTTGCGAGATTTATTTCATCTTATTTTCCTTTTCCTATTCCAACATAAGATGAAGCATGTTGAGAGACGCATGAACAAAGCGACCGCATATATTATACATATATGTATGGCAAAACATCCATAACATACAAAGAAGGCAAATGTAGACGCACAGTAACTAGACCTAGGGAAAAGATTCACATTTATAACAATAATTTAAGGATCGTAAAACTTTTTTATGATTTCATTATGATGTTTTTAATACAACACTGCTCACATGATATTTGATGGAATAAGTAAAATAATATGAAGGAAATAAATAGAATAGAAAAGGAAATGTGACAAGAATTTTTATTCGTACTATAAATTGGAATGCACAGTAAGGACGAAAAATGTAAAATAAAAATATTATCGTTTTGATTTAGAGTTATATACATGTGCATACATTATATTGTCGATGTGAGACAGCATTAAATGACATTAGGAAGATGGAGAGATGATGTTTTTCATTGCTATCTAATTCCAATCGCCGAAGGATTTTGCCATAAAATGAAAATGTTGTGAAAGCAAAATTAAGCTTTGATAACTGAGCATAATTTAGCCTTGGATGATGTATTATCTTGATTTAATACATATTGATGTAAACATTTTCATCATGCTCCCAATAGCTTTATTTCATGAAATCTGTCATATTTTTGGTTTCGTTTACATTACTTTAACATTTCTACTAAAAGCTTCCATTTTAAATCATTTGTGTATTGAAAGGAAACAAACAACATGTTTCGGAGTTTATTGTCTTTAGATCCCAGACCTTTTGTTTTTTGTACCTAGATAGTAAATTTAAAATTGATTCTCCTTACTTATTATCTAAAAATTAACCGCTATCTTCTAAGAATTTCATTACCTTATCCTTGCAAACCATGAAATATACTTGAACTTTGTGATTTATTAGACTGAAGTTAAAGCAAGAAAATTTTAATAAATAGGTTAAAAGTGGCAAAGTTTTGTTAAAATACCTTTAAGCTATTTACCTCAAAAATACAAACAATCGCAATATAAATTAGCAAAAGCCATGTTTCATAATTTTTTTTTTCGCTACTTCCATCTTTTTTATCAAGGGAGAAAAGTTTGTGGCGAGGGAAAATGTTTCATTAAATATCTGGGAGAATCAATTAATGATTCAGATGATGTTGCTCATTATTGCGATAAATGTAACAATGTATCTTAACATTATTTGGTGATGAGAAAATAAAAACAGAAAGAAGCAAGATAAAGAAGATGAGAAAAAATAAAGCTTAGGGCTGTTGAACAGTTGATGGCTTTTTATCATCCCATACATATGAATGTTGATATAACCCAATTAGTATACATTTGATGATACATAGTCAATATTTTCCGCTTCTTGTTTACATTTATTTCGTATCAATCATCGATAAATTCCTATAGGTTGTTGTTTCTGTTTCATGCCTCGGCATATTAATAGGCATTTTCCAACCAACATTGCTAAGAATCATTACCAAAAGCATTCGACAACTCATAAAATGTAATCTTTTATCTTTGATTTTTTTCCTTCTTCGTATTTTTTTTTAAATATTTTTAGGGTGCATGGAGTCGTTCATTTTGGATAGCTCTCATTCACTCTCTTGCTTTCGAGTCTTTTCCTCTCATTGAGATTCCGCAAAGATGATTTGCCCTCTTCATTCTTGATAAACGCTTTGTTGAAGAAAAGTGAACCAATTTTCCATTCTTTAATCAATGCCAATGCTATAAACAATGTAATAAAATTTTATGTGGAAACTTTTTTTCTCTCTCTCTCTCTCTAGTGCTTTCTGATTTTTTCCATTCACTTTACCAACACTCGAAAACTCAGAAAATTCAATGAAAAAAAAGTCTGAAAAAATTGACTGCTGGGCTATTGACGCAATAAGAGGGTCGCACTCATGTTTTCGTTGTATGTAGCTCCTACAATTTTTCAGTATTTAAAAACTCAGCAGCAGTAATAGCAAATAACATAGCAGCTATAAATGAATGAAAAAACAATATTCAATATCAATGATTGTGGGAAATATATTAAATACATCGAAACATATCGCAATAAATGTGCAATGTCGATCATCGATAATGTGTGAATGTAAATTTTTGATTTCATTTTGGCTGCTGTTGCTACTGCTGTTTGTGCTGTATATTAATAAAAATGATTATCGCATGAAAATTTATTTCAACTCTCATTTTTTTGACATTTAATGTTATATTATTTTTATATGCTCGTATATTTGTTGTCTGTGGAGTTGTTGTTTTCATAGAGGAACAAAAAGAACATTCTGAATAATTTTATATTTTTTTCTTGCTTCACAATCAGTATATAAATTTAAAAAAAAACCGACGAATTGCTTTAATTTTATTTCAATTTTTCCTTGACTTTTTGAAGAATTGGGAATTTAGTTTGTCCTCCAGTACATGAACCTCGAATGTCTTCAGTAGAAAGGTCGAAAATGGAAACACCTCCTAAACCTTTTCCTTTTACAAAAGCAGCCTTGTTACCAGCACTATCTGGATCTTCATATCCAACCCAGACACCATGATTTCCATTATCATCAGGAAGACGGAATGCATAAAGTCCATATCGCTTTGTTGAGTCAACGATTTTACGTAAAGGTGCCAATTCCCCCTTAAGATTCTTATTTTGATCATTCAAAAGCATATTGCAAATTTCTGGATAGCTATAAAGACCAGGTGTTCTCGTTTGTACAGCTTGCGGTGCTGGACCATTTGTCGCAATGGGAGGTGAGCCAGTTATTGTTGCATCCTTCTCAATTGACCATGCACGACCATATGTTGGTAATCCAATAACTATTTTGTTTCCGGGAAGGCCATTGGCTACAAAATATGTTGATGCATAATCAACGTTATCATCAACGTTTCTATCAGTAATGGAAAGAGTTGGTGCTACATAATCTGCTTCTTTTGGATTTCTAACTGGTGTGTATATATCGAATGCTGCAATGTTAATGTAATCAACATAATTCTTCAAGGATGCCGTATCGAAATACCATGTAATATTAACATTTGGTAAAATGGTAACAGCCAACTCATAATTATCAATACGGAATGAGTTTTTAAGCTCAACGACAAGAGATGTAAATTGATCTTTATGTGTCTCTGCATTTTCATCTACTGGTTTGCCAGCTGCGCCAATTGTTTTCTTGAATGAATGCCAAACGGATCCAAGCGTCGACCTTACTTTTTTCGGTTTATTTTTGGGAAATTGGAATGCCAAATCAAGACCGTCGAATCCGAATTGCTTGAGAACTACATTCACGCTGTTTGTAAATGCAATACGTCCAGTGCTTGACTCCAACAAGGCTAGATATTTTTCGAAAGTTTCATCAGCATCACCACCGACACTCAAAAGCACTTTAAGACTTGGATATTGAGTCTTTAAAGATGTGACTTGCTTGTACAATCCATTGTTAACATCAAGTTCCTCATTTGATATTAATGGTGATAATTTAAAGTCATTTGCCTTAATACCAGCATATCCATAAACCAAATGTGTACATTGTGATAATCCAGGTAAAAGATCAGTAGGTAGAACTTTTCCTAATCCTGCAAAAAGAAAGAAAAAAATATTTAATAAGTTTGTTTAAAAGTTAAATATAGAGAATATTTGATTAGGGAAGGTCAAACTTCATTTAACTTATTCATCTCATCATAAGTTTATTGTTATCAGTTTGCACAATTATATTGAGCATCAAACCTGTTTACTCAACAAATTTACAAAACTCTGAACCTGTTTGCCATACCGAAAGTTTTGATAATCACTTGGCACTTATGAATCTGTTAACATGGTGAATGATGAGACCGGAAAAGACGAAGCATTAAGTACATATTAAACCTCATATCAGCTTTCTCATAAGGTGAAATGTGAACTTTAATCAAAATATTTATTTTATAAATATGTCTAGTGCTCAAAGTTATCAAAATAATTCTATAGAAATTTTGATAATGTCATCGAAGCTAATAATTAGCACCCAGGCTACGAATAAAGTTGACACAAATTTCAAGTTAAAAATAATTATATTTCGAGTAAGTCATGTCTGTAATAATGATATCATTAAAGCTGTATTACAATATCTTGTTGATTATGATCATATTGATATAAAACTCCTTTCCAGATATATTTTTAAATTCCTTAGCAAAAATTTCATTACTGAAATATCCAACAAAAATATTAATCACATGTTGACACAAATTTTCTTCTGTATTATTCAATTCAATAGCACAAAACAATAACAATATTTGTGATTCACATGCTTCCATTAAATGTAAATAAATCAATTTCGACAGAGGGAAAAAAAGAACTGTCGATTAATATGGCTGTGTAAATTGATGACAAATGTGATTAAAAGTTTATTTTATCGCCATCACAAGCCCTGCTTTCGTAATATCAATAAATTACTCATGCATCTTGACCTTCAATGTATGTACACAAAATGAGCAAAATCTGTTCTCTCGATAATATGCTGACAACGAAAATGGTGATGACTATGATGTCAAACAAGAAGAATAGCAACTAGCGAGAGAAAAAGAGAGACATTGTACAAATAATTCTCAAATTGCTCAAGCTTTGCTACTACATCATTCAAGTAGAACTAAGTATATTGAAGTTTTCGCTCGTTTCTCTTGTTTGCTTATTTTTTATATTTACGTTAATTAAGTTGATTAATTTACATGGCAAAACTCTATGTCAATAATTTGCTATTTAACTTAGCCTTCTTCTCATTTTTTTTTTTGTGAATAATCAGAAGTATCGATAAGCATTTTTGTCTGTTCTTGACAGCAAAATGAACGAATGAATTATTATTGGCACTTATTCGCCTAGATAATAGGATAGGCAAATAAGTAACTTGAGAAAATAATTTATTAATTTACAGTTTATGAAATCTACAAACATTCTCGTTAACATCTTTAGATCAGTAGATCTGAAGGCTCCTGACATTGGAAAAAGTAAATAGACTTGTAAGGAGTTCATTTTGAGCTCTGGAGTTTTGATGAAATATAAAGCTAAAGTCAAGTTTTGATTTTCGATTCAAAATCTTTAAAAATTATTTCATCAATTTCTCTTGCTTCATTCAGTCAAAGATTGTGATTCCAAAATAATCAATCGTGTTTTATGTATTATCAGACATTAGGGAGCACAACGAGGTCAAAGATGTATGTAAGCACATCAAAATGTACATATTTAAGTGACAGGAGCTATAAGGTAAACACATTTTATGCCTTAGAAAGCTTGAGAAAAAGTGAATGAAATTTTATAATTGAACACTTGAGGATAATTCGGAGTATGAATAAGATGGAATGAAAGGAAAGATGCTGGATATAACATTTAATTAAAAAGAAAATGTTGACACTTTTTGGATACAAAATGATAAAGAGCAGCATGAAAATATTTTCCCATGTAATGGTAAGTATCATCATGTAAGAACATTTTTTATTTTATGCTTTTTCTTCAATTTACTTCGTCACCGTCGTCGTTATTCTGTCAAAATGAAGCTAGTCGTAAAAATGGCTCAGAGCTTTCAATACCATTAACAAAAAAAAAATGCACAGGTACGGGATTCTTTCTGACTCAATTTATATAGGTACTTTTGTTCACTATATACCATTAACTCCCTACATCATCTAGTTATCAACTGTTTTCAACATACCATCTTTCAATGAGCTTCGAGAGTCGTAATAACAAACGACTCGAGGAGCCGAGTCACCATTTATAAAATTAATGAGACCCACGAGGAGAATCAATTTAAGAACGAGATTGTTCCACATCTTTCTCTAATTCCTATCAGCTTCAATTTAATTTCTTACTTCCACTTTAAGACACGATTTATGATTCGCGTCCGTAGTCAGCAAAAACTAAAATTAAACTGTGAACACAAAACTCTAAATTCAATATCAGGTAATTTTTTTCATTTCGATTCTCATATAAATTCTCTTTGCTGTATGCATAGTGAGAATTGTATTTTGTATTTTTTGTGTATTGAAAATATAAAAAAAAAATCAAGAAAGAGTGGAGGTAATAAAAAGTATATAAAACCAGCTGTAGCTGAATTGCATACAACAAACTTATTTTATACTTGAACAGAAGAAAAAGATGAAAAGTTTTAAGTTGAGTTCAAACAGGGTTGTAAACTGATGACAAATTTATTGCTGATTACTTTTTCAACCAGCTTTATTTGCTTGAGGTTTCAGACAACTGATGCATATTGTTATAATCAGAACGGTTCTTACAGTGCTTGATATATTGTTAAATAAGAAAAATTCAAATGGATTCATGTTTTTTTCTTGAAAGTCTTTCGTCTTTGGGATTCAATACAAGAACAAAAACTCCAATATAATTAATACTTCTCTTAAGTGTTTTTATCCTAACAACGACCTTCTACCTTTTGTTAATGTTCCCATTTCTTCTATTTCACGATTTTACTCATGTTGTATGCTATATTTTCAATGGGAAGATTTTTTTTTTTCCTTATTGTTTTATGGCGAACATTTTTTTCTCCTTGCTTTCATATGGCAGGAGCTTATAATCGAAGGGAAAAGAAATTTCATGTTCATTTCATTTTTAGGGATTTAAGGTAAAATTGAAATTACTTTTTTTTTTTATTCCATAAAACTTGTTTGAAAGATGTCTTCACCTTCACTATAGCACTGCTTGTCTATATGCTCATTTTAAAAATGCCGCATCCACTTTAAGAATACACCTTGAATAAGCAATGAAGCTTTCAAATGATAGAGATGGTATTAGAAGTCACGTTTTATGATTTATGTGATTTCGTTTTTTGAATTATTGGAGAAATGGGAATTTTAATTTTATCAATGCTTGTCTATTTGTGAGTGTTATGAATATCCATTTGATATTGATTATTTTTTCCTTATTCATAGGTATTAAGATTTTATAATCTTTGTACAAATTCTACGTAACCTCAACATTGCTATTAAATATTAATATTTATAAATAAATTAAATACTTCAGTGCTGAGATCATAATGTTTGTGAGATGTGAGCTACATTCTCATTATTTTCTACTCACATGTTGAAATTGAGTTTCAGCATTCTGAACATCTTTCGAAATTAAAAAAAAATTTTAATCAAAATTATTTTGTTTTAAGCATTTCAATACTTAATCAACTTCATTATAAGTCATTCACTTATCTCATCTAGTAGAGAAAAGGCAAAATAATAGATTTTTGGGAATAGCATTTAAATTAAAATTGGTGATTCCCAGTTTAAAATGTGAAAACAAATTTCATACTCTTAAATATTTTATTAGCAAGCGAAACACGTTTTTAAGCAAAAAAAAAAAAAATAATTCAGAAAAGGTTTTTAAAATTTGAAAAATGTTTTATTTTTAGTAGAATGCGACAACTTAATGATTATAACATGTGTATAAAAAATTCAGTTTCTAATGTTGTATTCTTATTTTAAAAAAATTCATCTCTTCTTTTATGGTTATAAATTGTTTTTATTCTATGTCTAACCACTACACCGTCACTTTAATATCAATTTTCATGACATTATAATAAATTTCATTTTTGTTTACACTTTCCTCCCTCTTTACACGCATATTTTTGCCTCTTTGGCATACATACACATCTTCAGCTAATATCACGTCGTCAGTCATGTCATGATGTGATGAAAAGCATCAGGAAGCAAAATAGGAAGAACGCGATTCTAGAGTAATCTTTAACGTCTATGTTGCCTGATGTAAAGTAAAAAAAATGTTGCTTCTATTTAATGGGCACGCATTCATCTAGGATGATGGTAAAAAAGATAAATAAGTAGATGTATGATTTTAGGTAGCACATTCATGCAAGAATGGATTTGCGGATGTTCATTTTGTCATGAAGTTTATTTTAAAAAAAGTTTTATATCAGCTATACACGGCGTATCTTTCTTTTGGTATATTAGATTTGAAAAATAACACTTTAGCATAACATCATATAGGCCGCAACCAGAAAATCCTATTACCGTTTTATTTTTTTTTTTTTTTTGTTTACTTGCTTTTATCTACTCAAAATTTTTTTTCACTGCCTGTCTTCTTCTTCCATATGATGCATAATTAGAGATTCTATTCCTGTCGACTAATGCTGATAAAGCTCTCTTATGCCTCTCATGGTGATATTGACTTTTGTGTATTGTACATTTTCATTTCTTTCCCTAAGATAAAGTTTTAATGACTAGAAACATGTGCTAAAAGCTTAAGTTTCAAAAAAAAAACTAGAACTCATAAATAGATATATTTTATAAAAAAATAAATTCCTCGAAAATATTATTTTTATATTTTAATAATAAATCTAGGTATATTTTAAGAACTCATCTTTTTCAATGAGAATTTACTACAAATATCAAATAAAAAGCTGCATATGCACTTTCTAAAATGATTTTTTAATTCAGCTAATTAAAACTTTGTCACGAAAACTCGTGTGAATTGATGAAACCAATTTAAATTTAATTTAAAGTTCGTATGGGGCCGTTCACTTATGACGTCCATCAAAAAATGAGATTTTTAGACCACCCTCCCCCCCCCCCCCCCTCAGTCACAAAATTTTAATACAAAAACAATCTTTTGTATTGAGGTATCACACAACTTCAGACCCCCCTCCCCCTCCTAAATGTTGGGCGTCATAAGTGAACGACCCCTATGCTGATCTGCGTCAATTAGTTAACATTCATGTTTAATAATAATATGATTGTATATAAATTTTGGAATCAAAAGTATAATGAAGATGAATAAAATATCCTGGAATGGTATGAAACATAGCTGAAACAAATGAAAACGTCCTCTGAAAATAAACGGAGTAAGGCAATCTTATTATGTTGGCAAAAGAATCATTCATAAAGCAAATGACAAAAAAAAAATAAGAATTGTATAGAAACATGGAAGCAAGAACAAGAAAGAGAAAAAAAAAGTTTCGTTTGCTCTCAATCACTCAAGAGTTGTGTAAACAAGGGCAAAGTCAAATCAATTGAAAATGATGATACATACAGAAAAAAAAATTCATCATTATCAAGAGCGACGAGTTGTTGTTCGCTTGTATCATCACAAAACAATATAAATTTTTTTACATGAGCTTTCAAACTGTATTTTTCATGCATGTTCTGTGTATCCTTAATGAAAATTTATTTTTTGTGAATACCAGTAAACAACAATTGGATGGAAAAAGCATTTTTCCTTTACTCGCATTTGCTACCGTTGAAGGGGAGAAGAAAAAGTTCAGGATGCATGTAATATGATATGATTATAAATAGCAAGATATTGTGAAAATATAGGGAAAGAGGGTGAAAAATTCAACAAAACAATCGACACGAAAACAAATTAATATTCCAATTATCGATTCTTGTTGTTGCCGTTTATTGTGAAAATTGCTTGCGTACTTGAGTGAACATCGAGAATAATTTACATGTTAATGATACTTCGCAGATCTGAGATAGGTAAATATAGCAATTATAAAGGATGATTGTCACATTGCTCATACATACTGACTGATTTTGCATGTTTAATTCTTATACGAACAATCCTCTGACATTAATAGAACATAAAATGAATATTGTAGATAGAAAATGAATGTTTGTACTTTTTTTAAATATTAATGAATTTAGATTTGAGCTTTGTTGATCTTGATTCTTTGTCTCATGTCAAAGGCATCCAATAATGTTTAGTCTTAAATGGTAACCGCAACAGTGACGGCATTAAAGTAATCAAGAGATACATAGTAAAAGACATTAAAAACTTAATAAATATACAAATTATTATTCATCACACTATGAATATTTATAACATCTACTGTTGTTTTAATCTATGCTACGCACACAAATTACATCTACCTTCTTTCGTTCCCTTACTTATTTACTTTCGCTCTTTTTGCATCGTGGTTGAGATCCTTTGTTAATATTGTATTACTGTATGTATCTTTGTGTATGGAAGAAAGAAAACAAAAATAGAATGAAGCATTTTACTATCTCTCCCTCTATGATAATAAAATCACATGGATTAAGTCAATTTTATGTAATTAAGTGCCAAAGTTTACCTCGAAAGAATCAAGTGAATGTCTTAACAACGAACAATATGACGATGGTAAAGTAATTTATTAGCCTTTACTTATGGCTATAAAAATGATTCTACTATGTTCTACATTCTGCTGATTGGTCGTTTTAATTATCTTAGAGACATGCAGATAAACATGTGTATTTATTGACCGAAAAGTGGAATTTTTCCAAGACTTCAAGGTTTCTTATGTGGAACAGAAGAATAACTTTAGCATACCAGATAGTAAATTCATGTAGGTTTATGGAGCAGGAAATTTATATTAAGAACAATTAACACTTTGGTTTTTTATTTTCAGCATTATTATTTTCAACCCCCAAATTTTCACTTAATAATTAACATGAATATTTTATTATGATAAAATGATTTCATAAGAACTATTGCTAACGCTTTTTTTCCCGTTCTAACATTTGAATCCTTTTTAAGCTACATCTTTTGCAGCAGCAACAAACCAATTTGAAACCATCAATCATTTTAATCTTTCTTGTCCGATCATCAAAAAATGAAAATTTTCACACTACACGATGTTATTTATTCATTTTTTGCCGCTAATACAAGAAGCTATGAAGTAGGAACAATAACAATAAGAGCACAAGACACTTTATGTTTTAAGAACGAGAAAAAAAAATAAGGAATAGAAAGAAGAGTCAAAGATTAAGGCACAAAGTGTGTATATAAATAGTACATTTTGTGTTGAATATATTGTAAATTTTTAATGCTGTAGGCCTCTGACTTTGAGAAGCAAAGTCATCTGTTGCTGCTGCCTTTTCTTCTTCCCTTTCCTGTATAATGTAAAATATTCATTTTCTTACTTCCATTGCTTAGAACACAACGGATGTTGTCAGTGTAATTATGAGCATGAAA